CCCGGCCCGGCCCGGCCCGGCCGAGCGATGCTGCTGCTGGCGGCCGCCTTCCTCGTGGCGTTCGTGCTGCTGCTCTACATGGTGTCGCCGCTCATCAGCCCCAAGCCCCTCGCCCTGCCCGGGGCGCATGTGGTGGTGAGTGGCCTCCTGTTGCTGCGCCGCCACCTCCCGGCCCGCTCCCCTGGCGCGCCGGCCCGCCGCCCAGGCCGGGCCGCCCACGTCCCTCTCTCCGAATGGAGGGCCACCTGCCGCGGTCCAGCCCGGCACCGTCCCTGCGGAGGGCCTCGGGGACCCGCCCTCCGCTGCGTCTGGCTCCTCCCAGGGCCGGAGAGCGAGGCGGCGGGGACAGCGCCAGCGAGCCGGGTCCCGGCGCTCCGGGGGCTCCGGCGCGCTCGTTAATCCCCGGGGCATCCCTGGGATGTGGATATTTTTGTCCTCAGTTTTCCCGATGAGTCAACTGAGGAACAGAGAGGCTGAGAAACTTTGCCAAGGAGACCGCGGTCGGTGGCCGTGCAGTCCTGGCCGGGTCGCGAGGAGGCGGCGGCAGGGAAGGGGGTCCCAGCCGCCAGGACCCGCCGGGCAGCTCGGAGCTGGAAGATGGCCTGTGCGAGTGACAGAAAGAGCAGTTGCCAAAGGAATCCAGGAAGTGACTCACTTGGGGGAAAAATTGCTCCGAACCCAGTAGGCTGGCAGTCCTGGCCAGCGGTGTTGGGACGCTTCTGTCGCGTCTACACCGCTTGTCTTTCTAAGCTCAGCCTGGGGTCGGCTGATGGCTGTTGCAATGCAGTTCTCTGTCTTCATTCCAGAGTCAGAGGGATGAGCTAAGCGACCTGGCTAGTGCTTCAGGAATGAAGGGGATGTGGATGGGTTTGGTTTGTTTCTTACCGGAAGCTCGTGTCTTCAAATTTCCCTTTTCTGCAGGTGTGGCATCTTTCTTACACTGAGAGAGAATGCCTCCTTACCTGCGCCCCGCGCTTCACCATTTGCAGTGGCTTTCTCAACCGTTTTCTTGTCTGGATCTCACAACCCCGAGGCACGTTGAGGCTGGAGGTTATGAATAAGGAGAGTTAGTTGCTAAGCTGGCAGCACCAATCCTCCTCTGCTGGAGGTGACATGGGGGTGTCTCCGCTGGGGTCCAGCCTCCCCACTGAGCTGTGATGGGATAGAATGGTCATTTCTTTTAGTGTGCCTTAAATCTGGACAAGAGTTTGTGAAGGAGCAAACGTATTTTCTTTAAATTCTCATTTTTTAAAACTATCAGTATATTTCCAACTCCTGCTATTCCTGTTGTGGAAGATAATAGAGGAGGGGAGTGTAAATTCATTAGAGAGGAAGAGAGAAAAGCATCACACTCACAAGAGAACTGCCTCAAAAGCATGGCTTCCAAAGTTAAGAGTCTTCCATGCTTGCAATACATAACTTGAAAAAGGTAAAACTAAAGGCAGTAATGAAAAATTTGAGTCAGTATTTTTAAAAGAATTTCACTTAACCTGGATTCTAGTCCTTCCCCCGCATCATGCTGGGCTGTAGGTAAGATGATAAACAAGTCTGCTGGGATGGACCAAGAGGAATTTCTTATTTTCACCATCCTGTTTTAATACGCCACTAAAAATAATGTGAGGATGACATGAGTAATTCACATGATGTCACCATCTGTCTTCCTTTTTAATCTCATAAGAAGAGTGAAAGTGTGATGCTTTTTCTTGAGGTTCGTTGGGACGAGACTGGGTGTTAGGAGAGGGAGCTACTGTTTAGAATGTCTGCTTTTGTGGCAGTGTGAACAGACTTAGGACATAACTGTTTATTGTATCATTTTTAGAACAGTTCTTGTATACTAGTGTTAGCTCCCTAATTACAGTGGCAAAACTGCGGAAGTCACGGTATGTACTTACTTAAATCGGCTTGTTTTTAAAAAACTTTAATTGACTTGGTGAGAACTGGAAAATCAAGTCCTCGCTGTTTGGTAATGGCTGAGAGCAGCTCTCCTTACAGCAAACCACCCCCTCTCTTGCCCTCAAGAAGAGGTGTGTGGTGTGATTAAAGAGAGAGTAGCATTTCCACAATATTTGCAATGAATAGTAAGAAGGAGTGATAAAGAAAGGCAGTTAAACTGTTATCTGCAGTGGCCCATAGCTGGGCTCAATTGACCAGTTGTTAGGCAACTCAATACATAGTTACCATTTTTCTTAGGCATTATGAAAATCTGTTGTATTTTTTTATAACAGAGTAACATAGCCTAGAAGTGATTTATGTATATTCTTAGATAATTGACTAGAAAGTTAGTTTCCCGTGAACCATGATTCAAAAGTTGAAGTCTTATTTTGGTTCTTATGGAAAAATCTTATAAGTTATCAGGTTGAACAGTTCTTTGCTGTGAATTTACACAGCTAGCTTACTTATTACAATCTAGAAAAAGGACAACAATAATAACAATAGCTAATATCTACATAGCACCTTAGAGCATGTAAATTTTCTCAATAACCTTGTAACTTCAACTTCCATTAGTTCATTGAATAACAAATAGGGAAATTTTATTTGCAATTTTTTTTGGCATTGTTTCTTTCAGGGAAATGGCATCAAACAACATATTGCAAATTAATGTAGGCAAATATTTATTTAGCAACTGCTTATGCAAGGCACTGTGCTGGAATGAGAGAGATGCATTGGACTTGGTACTCGTCCTCAAGGAACTCACAGTCTGGCAAAGGAGCTAAGATGTGTACATAAGTGACTGTGCACAAGGTGGAAAGGGACAGGTAGAGGAGAGTCAGGAAAAGGTTCTTGGAGGAGGGGACATTGGAACTGACCACTACAGGGTAGGTTGGATTTGGAAATGTAGGTGTGTGTGGGATGTTGGGTGGAGGGACATCCAGGCAGCAGGAACAACATCATAAAACAGCCGGGACATTTTAGGGATCCTGCTAATTGCTGTGCAATTGGAATGTCTGGTGAAAAAGAATAACCTCCGGTGAAATATCTCGATAGCAAAGAGCTCCTGAGAGGCAACTGTTAGCCGGTGAACAGGTATATTTTGACAGTAACCTGTAGATAATTGGTTAGTTATCTGCCAAAGAAATCTCTTCAGTGGTGGGAAGTTGAGACTAAAGAGAAGTGGGGGAGGCCTCCAAGAGTCCCATGAAGATGGTACATTGTATAGGAGGGGCTTCGTGATGATTTTAAATCATGGGATGGGGTCAGAGATGTTCATTACAGCATGACTTAAATCTAACATTAAAATATTCGAATTAATCAAATGTCTGACTATAGGGAAATGGTTGACTAAGTTTTGATACAGCTATTTAATGCAATATTGTGAAGCCTTTTGGTTTTTTGACATAAGACATTACGAATAATTTTTTTTTAGGTAGGATACAAAAGCCTGTAAGGACAGATGCCTCTCTGACACTTCCCTTCCCCCTTCATATGACAACCCTGGGCTCCCACTCCCCTGGCCCATATTATGTAATTTGCATACGGAAAATGACTAGAAAGATCATGTTGTGTTTGTCTTATTAAGTTAAATATAGAGAGAGTCCTTCGTATAGACCAGGAACTGTGCTAAGTGCCAGGAATATAGTGGGGAGCAAAAACAGGGTTGGTATTTTTATGGAGCTTGTGAGGCAGTGATGGGAAAGATGGTGGTGAATCAGATAATCACACAAATAAATGCATGGCTGCTGGATGATGTGAGTGCCATAAAGTAAAGAAGAAAAGGATACAGTGCTGAAGAGTGGGTTGAGGTGGGGGTGGGAGCAGTCAGTGAAGGCTTTCCTGAGAAAGTGATACTTGAGCTGAGCTTTGTTGGGTGAGTAGGTGCCAGCTGGATGAAAAGAGGGGAGGAGAGCGTTCCTGGCAGAGGAAATAGAATGTGCAAAGTCCCTGTGGTTGGAGAGAGCATGGAACTGAAAGACAGCCAGTATGGTTGAGCTATAGATGGTGAGGGGTAGAACGGTGCACGAAGAAAAGCTTTACCTCTCTGTATTTCCCTGTAATCGTATATTACTTTATAATAAGCAGTCATTTAAGAGATCATAAGATAAAAAAAAATAAAAGATCATAAGATATATGTGGGTGACCATTCTTTTTATCTCTAGTTGAGCTATTCATGCATAGGAAATATGCAGTAAGGAAATAAGATTCATTTGGATTTGGACTCAGAGGCAGACTGATGTATTATTTATGAACTAGATTTATAGGGCACTTTCCCTCCAGTGAACTCAGAAAAATATTATAGGCGTGCAGTTTATAGTTCAGTACTGAAAACGATCTAAGCAGCAGGCGCTGCCGACAGTGTCATGTTTCATATTTGCACTTACTCCATTCATTCAGGTTGGGATGAAGAAGCTACAACAGCTAAAGATTTAGTTCTCATAGATTGGTTTGTAGAGCTCATCCTAGTTATTTTAAAGAAACTTCCCACAGAAGGGACATTTCAAGTGCTGAGCAGATTTTGGTATTTTTGCTTTCAGGTTACAGGAGGCTCCAGTGGCATCGGAAAGTGTATTGCTATTGAATGCTATAAACAAGGAGCGTTTATAACCCTGGTGGCACGAAATGAGGTAAGTCTTCTAGGTACGTTATTCCTAACTTACTTATTCTACTTTAAATTAGCCGAGGAGGCTGTACAAACTTCCTGCCTTGCTGGAAATCACTAACATCTCTGGTTTGAGGTGCGATTCCTGGACCACTGGTTATTTCTGGTATTCAGGACAAAGACTCTGGGTTGAAATCAGGTCAGCTCTGTAAATGTTTATTTAGTGCCAGCAACTGTTAGGCAACATCATAGACACTGCAGATCTTGAGGTGGGAGAGGCCAAGACAGGTAAATAGCACACCTGGCCACAGGAAGCCAGGGAGGGTGCTCCACCTGCCCGAGGTGCCAGCAGAGGTGATCGGGGAGCTGATGCCTGAGTCTTGAAGGATATGTAGGTGTTTCTCTATAATTTGCTTGTGACGTGATACGTATCTCTAGTGAAACCCAGACCCCACAAGGGAATCTCACTGATCTCCAGCAGTTGAGCAAAACATTTGTTTTTCTGCATTGAGTCAACAAGAGGTCTGTTTTTCTTTTTTTCAGGGTCTGTTATTCTTGCCAAAGTTATTTCCGTGGCCCAAAGCAGTGGCACTGTATTCACAGGAACAGTCGTGGAGTCCTCTTGCTCCACGGAGAGGGGCGGGGCCGTGGGGGATGTGACCAGGGCTGTATTGTCCACTGCTATTGTTCTGTGCTTGGCATGATGCTTGGCTCATAGCAGGTGCTCAAAACATTTTTTTTGGATGCAGAAGTGAAGGGAGGGATGATGGAGGGATGGGAACGCCAGTGTCGCATCGTTGCTTGGGGATTTTGGACTCCCCCATGCAGAAGGAGGGCAATAGTATGGTGACTGCCTGGGTAGGGGGTGCCCAGTGGACGGGCAGGCCATGGAGGGCTCTGGGGGAAATATTTAAATAATGACACAAAATTAGGCTTGGATGTCCATAATTTCTTTAGAAATTCAAGGAAGGCAGAATTAGCTACCTTTTATTTATACCCTGACTTCTCTGACAATGAATTTACTTTGGCATTGAAACCGCCTTATGGGAACAAAAACACAGCTTTAATAAAATGGCATTTTCCGAGATTTAAACAATTATATTTGACACGAGACAGATGAACAGGAGATGAGGAAGCCGGCGTGTCAGGTGTTCAGAAGTTCATTCTGTGGTCCTTGCGTTGCTGGAGGTGAATGAGCAGACGAGCCTTCTGGCGTCGAGAAATTATTTATTTTCTAATGTAGCTTTTTATTCCAATTTTGGCAAAGTCAAGTTGTGTGTACGTTTATTAATAGAATAATACAATTGTATTATAGGTATATTCGTGTTTGGAGAACCTGCATGTCTTTCTGAAGGATTCCTCTCCCCTTTTGTTTTTCTCTGGCTGTCAGGATGTATTCAAATTACAACTTTTATAGCAAATTAAGACACTGTAAACTGATATCTGTCTTCTTGAAAATGAGTAAAGCAAGCAAAATTGAGACCTTGGAAGAATAACTCAATTACATGGTTAGATTTGCCTGTCTTACGATTATTTTTGTAAGCAGCCAGGCATAGATTTACCCAGTCCATCTAAAAAGTGCTTTTTAATATATCTGCTTGTATAGTGGAGAAGGAAAATATTGGACCATCTCTTACGAAAGCACTCTTGACATGGAATCATGTGTACCCTTGAGTTTGGGAAGCATTGCGTATCAATATGGTTGTTCTTTTCTATATCCAACTAAATGATGTTAGATCAAAACCTTTATTAGAATTACTGGCAATTGATACTGTCATTTGGGATTTTGAAGTTCATTTATTTTTCGATTATCTTTCACTGCAATGAATTTTAAAACTTGCTATCCCTTAGTCATAGCTTAACATACTTTCAGCTTCTTTTTTGCATAGACTGTGGTCCGTAGCTATGCAATATAGTTGCGATCTTGTGTGTTTTCTAGAATTTGATAAATACTATACAAATAATTGCTTTTTCTCTTCTTTTAAACAAACAAGCAGACAGATAATCACCAGAACTAATTGTTCTTTATTGCTTTCAGGACAAGCTGCTGCAGGCAAAGAAAGAAATTGAAAAACACTCTATTAATGATAAACAGGTAAAATTACTGCCTTCAGGATGCATTTTCTGTAGAAATCAGTACAATCATGTAAAGGAAAAAAGGGGCTGCTTCAACTGTGAATAGTTCATTGAAAACGGGTAGGATTTTCCTGATTAAAATACATATTAGACTGTTTTTTTCCCAGTTTTATTGAGATATAATTGACATACAACACTGTATACGTTTAAGGTGTGCTGCATAATGATTTGACTTACATGTATTGTGAAATGATTACCACAATAAGTTTAGTGAACATCCATCATCTCATATAGATAAAAAAAAAAAGAAGAAAAAAATTTTTTTTCCTTGTGGTGAGAACTCTTAGGCGTTACTCTGTTAACAGCTTTCATATATGTCATACAGCAGTGTTAACTGTAGCCAGTGAGGTGTACATCACACAGACTGTTTTTATAAAGGTGAAATTTTTTGAATTGTCTAGGAATTCAGGTTATAAAAAAATGTATAGATTCTCATACATATATGCACACAAATGATCAAATAACTGAATGTTTTACTAGAAGATGATTTCATTTCAATTCTTTATTTAAATGAACTTTATAAAAACATTTAAGGGACAAGGAGCATTTAAAAAAATTTTTTTTTTGGGGGGGGCCAGCCCCATGGCATAGCGGTTGGGTGCGCGCACTCTGCTGCTGGTGGCCCGGGTTCAGATCCTGGGCGCACACCGGCGCACCGTTTGTTGGGCCATGCTGTGGCGGTGTCCTGTATAAAGTGGAGGAAGATGGGCACAGATGTTAGCCCAGGGCCAGTCTTCCTCAGCAGAAAGAGGAGCATTGGCATGGATGTTAGCTCAGGGCTGATCTTCCTCACAAAAAATAAATAAATTAAATAAATAAATAAATAAATAAATAAATATGTAGTTAGGGGAAGTCCACCACAGAAGAGATGATAAAATTTCAAAAAATAATTAACTCGCAGTTATCAATACAAATTATAAAGCATATTACAAAACAGTTTCTACCATTTTAAAGGAAATTTGTTCCTGTCAGATTTTTTTAATATAACTTCTGCAGCGA